TGTTATACCGTTCGAAGAATAATCGAGAGTTACATTAGACAAAAATTTTACGTTAAACAAAAATAATTATTGTCCGTAATTATCGCGAAATAGTAATAAATTTTCCATCGCGTTTTGATACCAAATGATTTTTTTCCTTACGAAATATCTGTTCCGTGATACATGATTGTCATCTCAATTCTTTTATAAATAATTAAAATTTAACGTGCAAGGTATAGTAATCGTATACTCAGTATTCATAAAGTACAACGTTTCATATTATATTTGGTATTTTCTGCAATAAGATTTCAAAAAGAAAATACGAAGAAGAACACGCGACACGGCTACCTGCCTGTACGAGCATCGGGAGAAGAATGACTGCGTGATAACTATACGCGTAAACGTGACGCGCCGCCGCCCCGTGCCACCCCATACCGCCCGACCACCCTTCCGCGCCAAAACAAACCCCAAGGCCGCGCGCCAACCGTCTAAATGTTAACGCATATTACGAAATAGATCAAATAATTTATTCGTTACATTTTTAACATTCTCTGATGAGTAGTCTGTATTGCACCGCTTTTACTTTATTTCTTAGATTCGTTACGCACACAACTCATCTATATCGTAGATATTTCAATTGTGTTAAATATTAATTCTACTCATGATTCTATCATTCACGTCTTATCTTGCGTTCTTAATCCGGGAAAAGTAATAGGTAAATTATATTCAAATTTGCAATGCAATGCGAGATTTGTTGAATTCTAAACACCAAGTTAAGAAAATAATTTTGATCGTAATAAAACGATGCGAAATGTTTGCTTTAATACATTATCGTTGTTGCCTCGACAGCTAGCTTATATGCAGTGAGTGCAAAAAATATTCACACAGAGAAAATGTTTTTTAAAAAAATTTTATTTTTAGAAAGTAAACATTATCCGGCAAGAAATCAATCATCGAATTGATGTCGAATGAATATCGATACGATGATTTCAACATCAATTTGATGTCGATTCGACATTTAATTGACGACCATTTCTTGTTGGATAATTAACAATTTATTCATAAAGAATAAAATAGATTGTATGTTTCTCGAAATTATATATACCAAAAAGATGTGTATTAATTTTATAGAAAATATATCACCTGAAAAATAAACGAAAATTAAAATTGTATTGTTTGGATCAAAAAGTATTCGTATTACAGTCGAGAAATTTAGCTTCTGAAATCAGAAATACATGCGAAGCTCGGTCGTTTATGTTAGAACAGAATGTATTCATTGTATAAAATTGCTAATTAATGTTTATTTTCTACAAATAAAATTTTTTTTATAAAAAATTTTCTTATACGAATACTTTTTACTCTCACTGTATATATATATCGTTAATTTCAAAAATTAATTAATTAGAAAGAATACGGGCGTTAGGAGTCAGGCGCAGAAGACGTCGCGCAAATAATACACTTCTGAAGCTTCTTTATTTAACTTCTTGAAACTTCTTTATTTAACAAACGCGCTTACATGTTTCGACTCATTTTTTAGCCTTCCTCAGAGCAAACGCAACTAACATATATAAAGTAAAAGTTATCCTGTCATGGTGAACTCCCCTACATCGAGAATTTAAATGCCAGAATTAAATAAAAAGAAAGAAAAGAAAAATGAAAAAGAAGGGAAATATTAAAAATGTCGAATTAAAGAATATAGAAACTAATTTATCAAAAAACTTTAATAATATAATTAATCATCCCGAAAATAAGGACGCTCACCACGATTACAAAGCACTGTATCGCAAACATTATCATGAATAATTCAAGAACCGGTTCCTGATATGTTGGCCAGTCAGTATCAGACACAATGAGTCACTTTTTAGTTATTAGCTAGTATTAATGTGAAAATTGTAAAGTAATAAAAAATCTCGTCAGAAGGACTTATTACTGTGTACGAACAACACCGATTCAAAAATTAATTACACATGCAGGCTGCTAAATATTAATTATTAGCAATCGTATTTCTAAAGAAAAATCCGAATTGATTGTAGGTTGCTCGCCGTAGTGCGTATGGCTGCGTTCAGCAAGGGAATGCAGCTTTGTAACTGTTGTACTTCAATATAGTTGGTTCTTGCATAAAGTCTCTTTGTATAAATCAATCATACTAAAAAATTTTACATTTGCAAAGCTGCTTTCTCTGCTGAACGCTGCAAGACAAAAATAACAGTAGGCAACATCGATAGTGGTCGATTGTTTAATTTATTAACACCTTTCTTTTACAAAATTATTTTGAAAATTTAAAGATTTATTGTGTATCTTAAAACAAAGTTAAAATTATACAAAAGTGAATACGCACAAGTTTACCGGAATATTTATAATTATATTAGTACCTAATAAACAATATAAAAATATAAATAAAGTAGGCTAATGAGAGTCAGCAATGATAAACGGCGTAATTATTTAGTTAGCCTACTTTATTTATATTTTTATATTGTTTAAAATTTGAGAGTCCTAATATAATTATTGTTATTGAGTACCTAATAAATTTACTCGTTTCTGTAACTTTCATACGTTTCAAGATACACAAAACCGAGCACAAAACTAAGATGTGTACTAAGAGTTAAATAAAGTTATATTTAAAAGTCAATTAATACTAACTAAAATATTCAATCGCTCGGCAAGAAGGCTAACACGGATTTATCAGTATTTAAACCAGATAAAGTAACTATAGTCTACTTTGATTTTTAGTTAGCATTAATTAACTTTTAATTATAATTCTTACTTTTAAATCCAATTACGTTCAACTGTTCGAAATAGCACACTAGCTATTTGGTTTGATTTGAACACGGCCACTGTATCAGAATTTTAAGTGTGATAATACGATATATACGCATGCAGATACAAGTGAGAAGTCCATTATATATCCGTCCTAAATTTGAAAACATCATTTTGTGCTTTGGCTCGTAAACTTTGTTAGTAGTGTGTAGAAAAATGATTAATTTCGGACAATTGTGAACCTTTTATTTAAAAGAATTAAATGATTTTTGCACATATAACAGCTAATGTTCTAATATAAATTATATATCATGTAACATGGATTTAATTGATTTTAAGAACACGCTATTGAAAGATTGTACAGGCATTCTCTGTAAACTATAAGTTCCATAGACAGTGAAGGGACCAAATGTCGCGATTCGTCACAAAACCCAATAACAACGTCGATACGTTGCAACCGAATACTTTCCGCCATTGCGACGTTTTTTAACCACGGAGACGGAAACAAAATCTTTTTATTTCTTTCATAAACTGGTGCGCCGACGTGGTGAAGTATAAAAGGGCGAAGTAACGGAAGAAGCCGTCGTTGAAGACGAAGAAAGACAAACCACTCGGTCGTGACGACTCGTAAGTTTCCGCAGCCGGTAGTACCGGGACTCGGGAACGAAACTAATCGAAGAGCATGACGCAGAAGCCTCTTATCCGTAGAGGGTCGCCGCTATTGACTTAGCAAAGTTTGGATTGCTGTGCGGATAAGACGCACAGCAGAGTCAGCAGGCGAGCCGCGAAAGCTTTAGCGAGCTTCAGCCTCGTCTTCACGCGTATTCGGTACTGAAACTTTTAGTCGCACAGTCTAAGCGGTCCGCGGCGAATCGCGACGATGGTCAGACATGAACCTGCATTAAATCGACTTTAATACTTGTTCTGTCGAGGCTCGCGAAAATACCGGAGAGATTCGTTGTATACAAGCATTTGCTTTGGAACGGCCGAACGTCTTGTGTGTTCAAACATGGTAAAACATTCGTAGTACATTAAAAGATTAAATTTGAAAAAGTAATTATCGATAAAATGCACAAGTATTTTTTAAAGTACTCATAGAAGAATTTAATATATATTTATTTCTCATTGCGTGTATAATAAAAAATAATTATTTTATAAAAATATATATTTTTTTTATTGACGTAACGTTTTCTTTTATTAATAATTTTATATATCGTATCGTATAATATGAAAGTCAATTTTAGATTGTATTATAAACAGTATTATCTAGAAAATTGAGGTGTTGAAAATACAAATTTATATAGAATAGACGAAGCAGTTTATTGTAAACAATTTAAGTAGCAATAAGTTGTTATAAATACACTAATATTATACGTTTTATCATTTTCCTTAACTTATAGAAACAATATATTATAGAAATATCAAATAAAATATACACTTTGTAATGCTCATGGAAATTCGAAAGGAGCAAATTAATCATCTGCGTGCTTCGCCCGAGGAAAGAGTTCCTGGCAAATGTCAGGAAAAGTCAAGTTAAAGACGGAATCGAAGAATGCGTTATATCGTTCGCGAAAGACAACGCGGTGCTCGTTGTCTCGTTAAGTCGACAGAGATCGAGCGTTCGTTCCTTTGGTCTGCGAGAAAGAGCATCGCCCCTTTTCAATACGTCAACCCCATTCAACCTCCGGGGACCCTGGAATCTTTTCTCTGAGCTAGGTAACTCACGACGACGTCCTTTGCATAAGGGAACACGGTCTTTGATAAAAGAGAAAAAGACAAGGATCTGAGAAATAACGATGCTGTGGTACGCATAGATAATTCTCATACGTGAAAAATATTCTTCGAACGTGATTAACGATTTCCAAGTATGCGATACCGATACAAAACATGAAACAGCTTCCACTGTTTTTTATCAGATTTAATTCATAAGAATAAATTCGATAAATTAATCGTTCGATAAATTAATATTATAGATAATATAGATATAATTATACAAAATTCGTATCTCAGGTCTTATTAGATTATTTACTTTTATAAATATCTATTTAGCTACAAATAGATAAAGAGAGAGCGAGTGAGAGAGAGGAAGAGAGATACATTGAAAAAAATTAGATTAACAAATCTATTAAGTGAAACGTAGATAGTAATAAGATACAAAGAAAATAATACTTAGATATACAAAATTTTATATTTGTTTAAAAAATACAAAACAATATGAAAGCTTAGTAACTTGTAAGCCTCAAATATCTCACTTTATTAGTATAAAGTTTCTTGGAAAGTTGTTGATGCATTAATAGACTTCTTACTAAAGATAATCTTCATGGTAACTCCCCGGTATGCTGGATAGTAATCTGCGTAATCTGCAATTAAGTAATGCGTAAAATAATTGTTCTATTTATTAAGAAGAAAGTACATTAACTATCATTTGAACCTGAACTTCTGGTCGTGTTCCCAGAGCATAAATGAGCGCATCCGCTATGTCTTTCGATTGAAGACTTGGTGCTTTCTCCAAAAAGTCATTTACTGCATCCATAGCTATGTTCGTGCTTACAATACCAGGACTAATGCCCTGAAAAGATTAGATAAGTAAGAATTATATGCATTAATAAAAAGAAGAGTGTCTAGCAACGTTTTATACAAAAATAATATTATAAACTTCATGATAACATCTGACATTACACTGTTATACAGAAACAATAATCACTGTTTATGTCCAGTCACATGAGTATTTTTGGTATTTTATTGTTACCAAGTGTCTATTATTAGAAATAAGTTTCGTCTGCAGTTTTTATTCTCTTATCGCAGAACTTCGTCGTCAATATATCAATATTATAAATATATAATAATACTGCTCAATAAATAGTCTCTTCTAACATATTTTGACTACTGAATATGAATCTGTTATTCAAAATTGGATATATATATACACACATATATGTATACACATGTGGACCGAATCTGAGAAAAATAATCGATAAGGCCAAAAACAATGGTTTTTATAACATTACAATTGCAGCAAATTTTTTTTTAATTTCATTAATGTTACACAAAAGTATCAATTTTTAACTTCAAAATGCATTAAATAGTTATTTTTCATATTGTTTATATTTCATATCGTTTTTTTTATTTAGTATGATTCGATTATATGTGAACAAAAAAAAAGAACACTTACTTTCTATATATTGCAGTGAATAAAATGCCTTTCCCACATATTACACAGAAAAAGAGCTATTTTTTCAAATTGCTATATTTTTAAAATATACCATCATTCCGAAATAAAACAAAATGTATTTTAAAGTTAAAAGTTGACAATAAATGGCATTAACAAAATTCAGAAAAAAAAATGTGTATAACTCTCAACTTTGCTGTTTTTTTCCTCCTTTAATGACATTTTTCTCAAAATTCTGTCTTGATAGCTAGATTTGAATAACGGATTCGTGTTCAGCGAGCAAAAATACATCGAAATGAGTATTCATACCCTAGGAAAAAAGTTAAATTTTGTCGCACGACGTAGTACATTAAGGGGATGCTGGAGTGACGGTCGAAGTTAATCAAGGTCGATAGTACAGACTTTTTTAAATTCCAAATTTGACAGTAGTGACATCTTTCATTCACTTCTTATACTTATTATATATCGTTGTGTTTCGCTCAAACGCATTCATGTCCTTATCTAACATATTACAATCTCTTAGAAAGAGATCAACTAAAATACTGCTCGGTTTCATGGCTAAACAGTCTAAACTGTCGTACACACACACACATCGTCGATTTCTCACGCGCTAGATACACAATTTCGTAGAATGCAATTATCTTTTTATTTAATCGTCAAACTCAATTCTAAAGATATGACTGTATTCGTCTTTTTATTCTACATATGCTCCTGCCCTAATTTCGAGTATATAACGTGCATATAATTTTTTCACGAAGTAAATGTTTGGTGAGCTAATAGCACATGGATACAGAAATCTGTAATTTATTATTTTTCTCAGCTTTGGACACAAAACACACCAGGAGCAGGTACATTAGTACGGATATTTTAATCGTGGAGAAGGAATTTTTATTTTGTGCAACTAATTCGTAGAATATTGCATTTAACATAAACGCTTGCTTTATCGATAAAAAAGAAGACTCCAGCATCCCCTTAATGCGTTTGTTATTAATTAAAAGTTATAATTTACATAACACAAAAAAAATAACAAGAAAAAAGCTCAAAATATAATTGCATCTTACGGTAATTCGAATAGGAGCCTTAATTTTCGCTATTTCTCCTCGTACTGTATTAGTCAGAGCAAGAGATGCATGCTTAGTAGTGGGATATAAATTAAAGTCAGGCATATCATCCAGTGGTAAATAATGGCTCAAAACACTATACATCAAAGATATCAATATTAAACATAAATTGCACATTAAGTAAGAATTACTTATAATAATAATATATATAATATTACTTATAAGCTTTCTAAAAAAGTTTTTTGCAATTTTTGTCGTATGATTTATGGAAAATTTGAAAAATGTTTGTTTTTCACAAACTTATTTATTCTAGAAATTTATGGCGATTTATTCAATCATTGTTAACGTAAGAATCGGTACCTGTTGATATTGAAAATATGTCCTTCAACGTTTCGTTTGAGCATCAAATGCACTGCTTTGTTCGTACACACGGCGACTGCGAGGACATTAATATTTAACAGTCTTTCAAATGTCTTCCTGTTACTCTCTGCAAATGTAATTTATGGAATTTTTTTTAATAAACCAACATAATAGAGGAGATCGAAGGCTTTTATAATGCTGTCAGTGAAAGTCCCAATTCGCTGTCGAGAGACGCATGCAGTGTTAAATAAAAGTGAAAATATCTTTTTTTTCTAGCGCAATAATTAATATCTTTAGCTTAAAAAGCTGCCATGTTTTGAGTGAACTTATATAATAGCACTTGATGCACGTATATTTATCTATCCTTTAAACAAAAATTACCATATTTGTTATTTTCTTAAACGTTATTTTTGTAAACGTATGTATACTGATTGCGTAATATTATGATAAAATGTATAACACATATTATATTTCTGTAGCTAGCCATAAAATACTCATCACTGATAAGAACATACAAACAATGTTTATTTAAACGATTCTTTGTGTGATAAATAATATATGTATAATACGTGATATCAATCATCATACCTATTACTCGTGATAATGCAACGATGCCAGCATTGTTAACCATAATATCCACACCACCCAACGTCTCGATATGCGAGAATGCTGCATCGATTTCATCCTCGTGAGTTATATCACAGCATATGGTATATAACTTGCCCGGGAAACCTTCCCGCTTACATTCCGCATCGAGTTTTGCTAATCTTCCTTTCTGGACTTCCAGAGCAACCACGTTTATTCCGTTTTGCAGAAGAGCATGTGTAATTGCTTCACCGATGCCGGATCCAGCACCAGTAACGACTGCGGTTTTACCAAGCCAACGATCCATAATTGCCTGTCTGCAAGTACGACCCCATGTAACATCAATTGTTGCAAAAAGAGAGCTTTCAGAAAAGCTTAAAATATTTCGATCTTTCATATTTCGTGTGCAACAACTCTGAAAAAATTCTGCAATATGTTATATGAAATGTCGCAATAGAAATATTTCTGAATCATGTAATAAACTTGAAGATTATAGTACTTATCTGTACTTATAGATACACTATCGTTAGATGGACTGAGTTTTTTTCTCGTAAATAAAAAACCGTACAAGATAGAATAAAAACGCAACATGAGATTTTTTATCAGTGTTCGAGTGAGATAATTTTTTTTAGAGCGAGTCTCCAAGACAGTCCAAAATAAAAGTAAATAAAATATTTTTTTGAAAATACAGTTTCGTTCAGCTTAGTGTAAAAATTTATTTAAGTATCATTCCGATATTCCTGGGATTTCAAAATTATTTTAATAAACTTTTAGCAACATTTCTGATATATTTTAGAAATATTTCAGATCTTTAATAATTTTTTAGCAATCTATCCATAAGATTTTAAATGCAAGAATAACATTTTGTTATTTCAGAATTATCTCAATGTCAGAGCTATCACAAAATTTTTTGTAATATTTATGAGATATTTTAATCTAACAGATAAAATATTTCTCAAACATCTCTGAAAAATTTTTGTGCTGCGTTGAACATAACTGGCGGTTGTCACTAATAGTTGCTAAGCCAAAAATAATATCAAGCCTCTAAAAAGCGTAAAGCATTAGCATGCACAATCGCGGCGACATTAAACTCAATCATGAATTTGTAGAAATAACATTTCGATTAACACAATACTAACGTATATACTTACTTGCTTATCTTCTACGCAATAGTCAGCTGTACTAGGTTATTACAAAATAAATTCTAATAAAAACATGATATTCCGATATATGTAGATATGAGTGATAAAAAATTATCTGTCGCAGTAGATTAAATACGTTACATCAACGTTGGTAGTTTCATACGAACTGCTAGTGGAAAAACTAAACGCTATCATAATCAGAGCAGTTCCAGCATGACCTAAATCATTCTTTCGCTAGGAGTGGGGCTCTAAACTCAACGAGATTACACATGATTACACAGATATATACAGGATGGATGGAGTAATAACTTTGCCCACTTGGAATATCTTAAATATCTCTCTTAATACTATACAACTTTCGTATAAATAAATAATTTCATATTTCTAAAAAAGCGGACATATTATATATACACACACACATACACAAACACATACATATATGTATGTATATGTATATCTAATAATTCTTTATAAGTATTATTAGAAATTATATTTTTTTGCTTTGTTCACTACAGGAAGGTAAACAAAGAAGGTTATAAGAAAAACAGAAATGGAAGTTTTAAACAACAAAATTGCAACAACTGCGAAAAACACGGACATTGGAAACGAGAACGTTGCGCGAAGAAGACTTGAAGAAGGAAGTGTCTGAAAAATCTGAGAAAAAAGAAATAAGTGGAAAAGAATAATGAACATGAAGATGCATTAGTTGCAATAGAGCAAAAAAATATTTTGATTGCAAACTTATCAAAAAAGAGTGCTTGAATTTAGGTGCGAAAAGTCATATGACAAATAAGAAATATTAGTTTTATATACAAGGAGTTCAATGAATCTTTAATACTATAAATAGAAAGCGCGAAAATTTTAACTGCTTTAGAATGAGAGAGAGGTACAAAAAATATTATGAAATTCAACGGTAATACTTGAGAGCCTATAAATATTTGAAATAGATCTTATATGTATCGAAAACTAAAGATAAGATAACCGAATCATATATGTCCTACTCGCTATTTATAAATAATATAGTAAAGTTAACAGCGAGAGATAGCATTAGTATAGTGCAAGCTATTCGTTGACTATTAATGAATCAAAAATTTTGCTAATTTTTCTTTCAGGACTTTCAAAGCAACCACATTCATTTCATTTTACAGAAGAGCATGTGTAAAGAGTATGCTTCACTCAAGCCGTACCATTTCGGATCCAAGTACATCGGTAACGACTGCGGTTTTACCAAGCCAACGATCTATAATTGTCTGTCTGTAAGTACGACGCACAGCTCGCAGCTTTGGCGTTCCAAAAATAACTACCAAGCTAAAAATAATATTAAGCTTATAAAAGCATGATCATGCATGAGCATTCACAATTACAGCGATATTAAATTTAGCCATAAATTTGTGAAAATGGTATTTCAATTAAAACATATACTTATTGGCGTATCTTCAATTCGCAACCATCATTTGCACTAGTTTGCTACAAAATGAGCTGTGAAATCACAGCTTTATTTTATTTCAAGACAAACACATAAAAATATTTAAAAAATGCAAAGGTGAAACCGCAAAAGGTGAAACCGGTCATATTAACTGAGTCATTTATGAATTATAAATGGAAAAACATTAAAAAAATAAAAAGGTAATTATAGCGATTCTGATAAGAACTGACTCATCCTTCACTAGGAGTAGAGGCTATTTATAGGTAAGGTTGTCCGGAAAATTCCAATAGATAGAAAAACCGCGACAAATTCCGAATTTCACGGTCTTGGAATTTATCCGATAGAGTATAAACGAATAAAAACTATAAAAATGATTAATATGTATGTGAAATAAAAAATTTTTGTTTTAATTATTATAATAAACTATACTAATCACGATAGTTGAAAGGAAAACGAAACAAATCACAGTATTAATAAAACATCGTATAATAAAGTTTTCTTTCCAATTCAAATTAATATGTGAAATACATTTTTGAAACAAAAACTTTAAAGATGACACAAATGTTATTACATTTTATCTTAATTTTTAATTTTATGAGAAAAACATAATAGCAACAAAACTAAAAATTTTTCCAATTTAAATATGGTTCGTGTTTACTATGCAATATTTTGTGACAATTACAACTAATTTATTTGTTACGTCGATTCGATTTATTGCGTTGATTATCTATTATGCATTTTTTTTTATTTTGAATAAAGCTTAAGTTTAATACATTCTCAATTAACGCTAAACTAGAATAGTGATACTAGACTATCAAATTAGAGTACAAAATTGACGAATTCATAAAAAAATTTATTTTATTACTTTTAATAGAAAAGATCAATTTTACCGATTTGTTTTTTTTTTCTAAAAAATAGTTTTTATTACTGACATAAACTTTGACCAAAAAAAAGTGGAATTTTGGCAACTTTGGCTGCTAGGCTTGAAAATTACATATAATTACACAGACAAGTAGATATCTATGTAATTATATATAATTTTCAAGTTTAGTATGCATGTATAATAATAGTTCTCTATATGCGATTGTACTCTAGCAAATAGCACATATGCACACACATACATGCACTGAGAAAAATTTCCAGACTTTATCCGTTCAAAATATAACAAACAGATATTTCCGATAGATTTTGATCGTATTTATAGGACTATTCGATGAAATTTTAGGACTATCCGATAAAATATTAAGAAAATTTTATCCCATAGTCCTAAATAGGATCAAAATTTTATCGGATAGTTCTAAATACGATCAAAATCTATCGGAAAATATCCGTTTGTTACATTTTGAACGGATAAAGTCTGGAAATTTTTCTTAGTGTGTTTATTAATTTCTATGTGAAGGTATAAGTTATATTATAATAATATAACAGCTAAATTTTTAAATTAAAGAACAAAATAATGATCTGTATGGAAAGGCATTTCAGATATTTTATAATTTTTTTTACGTAATGACATCCTTTTCAAGATTTTGAAATCCAACCAAGAAAGATTGTGACAAAAAATCTAAAAGAACAAGAGAAAAAGTCAAATATCCTTACAAATGTGACAAGAGAGTTTAGTGTATCAACATTTTAATCATTAAGACAATTTTTCTTAAGCAATAAGGTTTGCTACTTTTAACTGTATAATCACTTATAATGTATACCATAAGAATATACGAGTATCAAGTTAAGATATATCTTGTTGCAATGGAGCAACACCTATTAAATACATCCTCTAATTATTAAAATTAGCATTTCTTCAATTCTACTTGTCAGAAAAATATTTTTGTGATAATTTTAATGATTAGACAAACTGTGTAGCAACGAAAGAGGATACGAAAGTTTAAACCGATCAATCGAAAAATTGCGAGATCGTTCCCCATGGATTGTGTTGAGTAGAAACAGACGGATCTGTCCAGACGCCATTTATGTTGAGATTCCCTAATAAAGCGTTCACTATAACTTGATTTTCGCGACTGAGTCGAGGCTTGATGGCAAGTGAGCACGTGAAAACGTGGGAAGGAGCGGGATGGATGCTATCATTCCGCGATAATGGCCGTAATGACGACGATAATGCCTCGACACACGCGTCGCGGAACCAGCGATTTGATATATCGTTTAAATCACGACCGGCGTCATTACGTACGGATACGCCTCGTCGTAACAACGATTCCGACAACAGAGAGTGCCGGAGTTAAGCACACCCTATGGAGAAGACGCTCGTGCGATGTCGTTAACAGTGTCATCTCCTTGTCGTCCACGTATGCGAACGGGTGAATATGAAGTAAGCGAGAGCCACACGATGAGTCGTTTGCGGCAATAACGATAGTCTGGTCATAATAACTCTCTTCGTCCATACACATTGATGGAGTTCTACCGTTGCCAACGAGGAAGTATCATACGGAATTACGAGCGTTCGCTTTGTCCCCATTCAATTGCGGATGGAAATTTCAGCGTTATTTCTTACATAATACAATGATATAAGTTCTACGGGTAAATTGATCGTTACGTGGTTCTCCTTATGTGCATACAGAATGGTTTAATTACCTCTTATTTTAATATGCAAATAATTATTATGATTCAACAGTAATAACATAACAATTCAATCAATATAACAATATAAGACATAATTAAAGCTTCCTGGTATCTCTTGGAGTGTTGATTCTTCATTAAAAAACAAGGAAACTTGTTTATATATATCCCAAAATTAGAAGAGACAAATAGTAATTTTAAATCATAAAGATGTTATAAAAGATTGTTCCAAAATTCGCGAATTAAAATAGCAAGAAATTGAAGAAATAAGTTACAAAAATAATAAAATAAAAATATAGGTTAAAAAAGTATTTGCCATTTTCCGAGCATTTTTGAGATATAGGTTTACAATTGGTTAATTACACCTACGATTAAATAGCTGCCCGTTCATGGTAGCTACGATTACTAACTATCGATGCATGATTTATGGACAGGCAACCATTTAACTGTAATATGTAATTAGCCAGTTGTAAACCTTTATCTTAAAAATTACTGCTCGGAAAATGGTAAATATATTTTTGTAACTTATTATACTGTATAATATATTGTATATCTTTAAATTTTTTACTGTTTGTTATTATGACTCTGATTAACAATTTTTAATGTTGAACACAGCAAAAATTGTTTAAATAGGCCATATTGTTATCTTATATTATACAGTGTTTTTTCACTATATGCATATTGAGAAATTTATCATTTTTTCCACAGATAAAACAATGAATATCTATAAGAGAAAGAAAAATTAATATTTTTATAAATTCTCTTTTTCTTCTTTTTTGCATAAATTTATAAACTTTTTTATTTTAAATCATACATCAATTTGTATAAACGCTATTTAGATATTGATAGAATAAAAGAAGCACAACTGTTAAATTTCCACTTGAACCAATCTACAATGATTCAAGTGGAAATATATCTATCTATAAAATTGTACGCTGCAAATCAGAATAATTAAAGCAACATAACATAAAAAGAATTAAAGAGAAATAAAAAAAGAAGAAATAGAAAGAAAAAGAAAAAAAAGAAATCAGTACTGCACAAATATTACAACAGTTATCAATTTCCATTTATTTATAGTGTTAGTGTAAATACTTTGTCAACGTATGTAACCATCACTCCGATATCCTGATGGGCAAACTGTCTCTTCTTCAATTTGAAACTATTATTAATCAAACAGGTCACGTTTGCGATTGTTAGTATTTTCGCAATTTCGAAAACCACGACCGTTTGTTACACGATAGAAAATTCTCGGATGATCCTTAGGGATTATCGTCAGAT